AAACAGCTGGAAAAAGTCATGGGAGGGGGAATGCTGCCCTGTCTTCTCCAGAGTGGGGGTGAGACTTTCCCTTGCGCATTAAGTGCACAGCGCCATCCCGGCCCCATGTTTCACTCTGCCCTTACTCCTGACTCAGCTATGCTGGCACCTACACACCCACTTGGTGTCTCTCTCTCTCTCTCTCTCTCTCTCTGTGTGTGTGTGTGTGTGTGTGTGTGTGTGTACTGAGGGAGGAGGATTCTATGTAGTCCTGGCTGCCCTGGAATTCACTGTGTAGACCAAGCCAGGCTGAGTTCAAACTCACAGAGATCTTCCTGTCTGGACCTCCTGAGCGCTGGATTAAAGGTGTGCATCAACGTGCCTGGGCCTTTCCCTCCATTTTCAATTTACTCACAAGATGCAGAATCTGCAGACATATAAGGGTACATAGATAATTACAGTTTTCGTTTTTGGATTTTTTTTTTTTTAAAAAATTTCAAGACAGGGTTTCTCTTTGTAGTTTTGTAGCCCAGGCTGTGCCCAAACTCAAAGAGATCCACCTGCCTCTGCCTCCTGAGTGCTGGGATTAAAGGAGGTCACCACCACTCCCCAGCTTGATAATTACATGTTTATGCTGATAAAATGCATGTATTCATATATAGAAGCCAAACACAGGGCTGGAGATATGGCTTCATGGCATAATACGTTTGCTAACATGCATTAACTTATGGGTGGATCCTTAGCAAAAGAAGGAAGGAAGAAAGGAAGGAAGGAAGGAAAAAAGAGAGAAAGAAAGAAAGGAATGAATGAATGAATACATTATTTAAAATGAAATAAAACAAAGTATACTTTTAAATAAAGGATGATAAAATGTATTTTTAAATAAAGACAATACTATTATTTAAATATGAAATAGTCCTCACAAAGAGTAATGCACTAAGCCCATTTATCCAGCAGGTGGCACTATTTTCAAGGCCTCGGGCCTACACTCCCAGCTGGAGGAAGAACACTGATTGTACATCTTTTGGGGAGGGGAGCTTGTCCTAGACTCCCCCCACTATAGAACACTGAGTGTCTTTTACAATTATCCTCGGGGTATCTCATTGAGTATGAACAATCTAGAGAGCTTCTTGGACTCTTGGGCTTGTCTGTCTCTGCCCTCAAATGTAGTTCCAAAGTGCTGGAGTTGGTGGCATGCACAGTCATGCCTGGCTTTCTAAACTTGGTTCTCTCATGCTTGTCATTAAGCCATCTCCTCTGCCCTGACATTGTTCTGTTATGGAACGAGTATCATGGACAAATCTTTCTCCAACACTCCTAGAAGACATTTACCGTGGACAGCAAGGTGTCGCACAGCCCCACATTTGATGTCCATTCACTTGAACTACAGCATCCCACCTTCACATAGAGTTCCCTGCAGCTGATAAGAACTGCAGCGTCCATACTTCTGTCTTCTACATCCTGCTGTTTCAAAAGCTGTTCCACTCTCACAATGTTATTCCTTTTCAGTTGCTGTGAGAGACATGCAGAATGTATTTTCAGGGGAAGATGCTAC